GGGCAGGAGAAACTGCTGCAATGAAGCCTGAGACAGAGGGTTGGAGGTTCATGGTTGAGGCAGTTTTCCTGAGCAAGGTTCCTGACAAGGGACCAGGGACCAGGTGACGGGCCACGTGTCCAGTCCTGAGCCGTTCCTCTTCTCATGGGTCTCAGGTAAAGGTTTGCTTTATTCAGTGGTCTGGTTGGATAAGCTCATGGTCTGGTTTTTTGTTTTTTTTTTCTGATATGAGTTTGACATGCTCACGTACCCATGGACTTCTGATCATGCAGGTAAATTCAAGGGTGGTCATTTTTATTGGTGTGATTAATTTACTCATTGGTTTGTGACTTCTGGTCGTGCTAGGCAGATAGATGGTGATTGTTTACTGTACAAAGATGGTATAGAGAGTCATTCTACCTGGGCACTTGGACACAAAACAGAGTAACTCAGGCGCAGTGTGAAAACTGCTTTTCTTTGTCACGGAGAAACAGTGCAGGGCACAGCCAGCTCTCCACACAACCCCCAACCCCACCAAAAAGAATCCACTAAAAGCCTGGGCTTTGCTCTCCTGTACTGGCAGGAAAAGGCTCCTTTGAACTAAGTAATCTGTTAAATCTCTCCAAGACGACTAAAATGAACAGGGACATGAATAAATCCACAGTGTTATACAAATCAGAAAACTAGATCCAGCTTGCCTCAACTGATACTGATAAAAGTTACTCCCTGAAAAGCCACCGTGAGGCAGAAGAAATCTGTAAACCTCTTCTACGAACCCAATTTAAACAGACTCAGCCCAGTATTGGGGGGAATGAAAAACCACCAGGAATCAGCAATTTGAAAACCAAGAATCAAAATGGACAAAACCAGGACCTTTTGGTATAGCTCTGACTTTTGGACTCACATTAACATTTCACATACTCAAAAAATAAATAATTCAAACCAACAAGGATGTGGAAGAGCCCCAAATGGGATACAAACAGTAACAAATTAACTTAACTCTGTTACAACAGAATAATATAGCCATACTGAACCATGGGAAAGCAAAAACATAAATAACTCAGGAAAATGGAATTTTGACTATGTACTTTAAAGCTGCAGATAAAAAAAAGAAGTACATAGGTTGTACTTTAGTTAGTAAATTTATTTTTCACAGGGGTTTAGAAGGGCTGGGCATGGTGTTGCACACCTGTAATTCCTGCTGCTAGGGAGGCTGAGGCAGGAGGATGGCGAGTTCAAAGCCAGCCTTGGCAATTTAGCGATGCCCTAAGCAACTCAGTGATGCCCTGTCTCTAAATAAAATATAAGAAAGGGCTGGGGATGTGGCTCAGTGGTTAAGTGCCCCTGGGTTCAATTCCCAATACCAAGAAAACCAAACCAAACCAAAACAAAACAAAAAAACTGGAGCTGCTAGGATTGAATAAATAAATATTTAAACAAATACAGATTAATAAATAGAGAAGATTAAGGAATCGTCAAAGAAAGATTAAGGGTAATGATAGCAAGGATTCTTGCTGTCAGAGAAAGACATACAACCAAGGGAGAATGCTAAAATGAACCCTGAAATTTATCGGAGGCATCAATATTAACTAACAGTTAACAAGTGTATAGACAAGTAGATACAGATATACATGCATGATTCCTAACTGTGTAAAGAAGGCTTAAAAGCAACTCAGTAGCTATAAACATGGCTCCTACCTATGCATTGGTTTCTAATACCATTCCTTGGGAAAAGACCCCTGGGCTTCTTGGAATAATGGGTGATCTCAGGCCTGGGACAGGGACAGTATAAGATGGGACTGCAACAAAACTGGGATGTCAGAAAGTAAGAAATACTTTAAAAAAGTGATGGGAGCATGTTGAAAGGATTCAAAAACCAATTAGGAGGGGCTCCTACTGCCCAGATCTGATCAATTCAAGCAACCAAGTAAATAATGACAGTACTGGATTATAATTTATAGGATAA